TTATAGGGGAGGAAAATGAGGCCAGGAGAGGTAAAGTTACTTGCACAAGATTTTAGAGCCAGTCAGAAAATGAGCTGGGAGCAGAACACAGGCAGGGTGAGCATGAGGGAAGATGGCATGGAATTGAGAGCTATGTTCTCCCAAGACCCTGAAGAGGGGTGGCGGATGCCTTCCTTTCATGGAACCGTTCATTTGCTTTGCTTCAAACAGTTCTGAGTGTTCATTACAGATCTGTGTCTACAGATCAGAGTTTTGTGTGCACTTGGGGAAGTTGCCATGTGTCAATAGAGACATGGGCACCACCTACCTGGGCCTGAGGCTTTTGATCAAACCTATGTTCTAGTGTTGAGTCCATCCAGGACCTCTCAAGACAAAGTCCTGGCACAAGAAGGGTGATTATCTCTAAGCCAGGAGGGGTTCAGGATTCTTCACTGACCAGGGATATTCGATGCTAATTGTCACTTTTATCTTTCATGGAGTTTGTGCTGCCTTTAGGGGATTCCACCTTCCTCCAGGGCAGCTGAGGAAGTGGGACAAATTGGAATTCAAACCTGTTTTTGGGATCTAAGTTTGCTACTTAGCAGGCATGAATCCTTGACCAAATTGGCTTAGACCTTTTTGAGTGTGTTACCATCTGTAAAATGATCATCTTCACTTCTGCCCACCTCCCAGGATTGTTGCACAAAGCACTTGTGTTTCTTTATAGGTTTTTAAATTGCAATTACTTTTGGAATGAGCATCCACATCAGAAGTTTCTGCTGCAAAGGGCTAAAGGGAGAACTGAGGAACTTGCATCAGGCTGAAGGTAGAGGTAGATTCTGGGTGACAGAAATGACTTTGCTGAAATATTTCTCCTTGAGCTATGTTGGTGACTGCAGTTGGTGGCTCTTGAACCAGGGGCCAAGGGAGTCTGATGAAGATAAGACACCAGGGTCCTCCAAGCACGCTGATAATGGTGTCTGGGTGGGCTGCACTGTGTCTGATATATGGTGTGAATCTTTCTCTTTGGTTGAGACTGATATGGGAGTTGGCTCCTGAGTGGGCTAGACCCTGCCCAGCCAGGCTGGGGGATGGAAGGACAACTATCAGGCTGTGGTTTCTCATTGCTACATTTTTTTCTTAATAGACTTTCTTTTTAGAGAAGTTTTTGGTTTACAGCAAAATTGAGTCGAAAGTGCAGAGAGTTCCCACATGCACCCTGCCCTGACACAGGCACCGCTTCCCCTACTATCAACATCCCACACCCCCCAGAGTGGAGCATTTGTCACAGTCCATGAACCTGTGTGGACACATCATGATCACCAAAGATGTCCAGGGTCCTCAGGGCCATAGGCTCACTAGATACAGTAGATCCTGAAGCTGGGACCTGCTGCATGTGTGGTGCCTCCATAGCTGCATGTGCAGTCACCTGTCACTTAAGGATGAGGATACATTCTCAGAAATGCATCATTAGGCAGTTGTGTGAATATCAGAGTACTTACAGAAACCTAGATGCTACAGCCTACTACACACCTGGACTATATAGTATCACCTATTGCTCCTACAGACCTGTACAGCAGATTACTGTACCGAATACTGCAGGTAACTGTAACACAATGGAGGGTCTAAATACCCCAGATCCCTCACTCTCTGGGTGGGGTACATTCTGTCCTGGCTCCTAGAGTTCCCAGCAGGGTTAAATGGCAGTTAACCAAGTGATCACTTACTTGATCACTCTTTTTGACTGTTTTCCCTTCCCTATCATCATTTCTCTGGTTTACTTACGCAAACCTAGATGGTACGGCCTAGACTATATGGTATAGTGCATGGCTCCTACAACCCTGTGCAGCAAGTTACTGTACTGAATGCTGTAGGCAATTGTAACACAATGGTAGGTATTTATGTATCTAAACATAGAAAAGGTACAGTAAAAATACAGTGTAAAAGATAAAAAATGGTTCACCTGTCTAGGGTACTTACAATGAATGGAGCTTGCAGGATTGAAAGTTGCTCTTGGAATCTGCGAGTGAGTGTGAGTGAATGTGAAGGCCCAGGACGTTGCTATACACTACCATAGACTTTATAAACATGGTGTACTTAGGCTACACTAAATTTATTTTTTTTAATTGTATTTCTTCAGTAATAGAATAACCTTAGCTTACTGTAATGTTTTTACTTTATAAACTTTTTTTAAAGCTTGTTGGCTCTTTTGTAAAAATACTTAGCTTAAAACACATGTGCATTGTACAACTGTACAGAAATATTTTCTTTCTTTATATCTTTATTCTATAAGCTTTCCATTTCTAAAGTTTTAAATTTTTTATTTTTTTACTTTTTAAACTTTTTTGTTAAAAATGAAGACACAAGCGCACACATTAACATAACCCTACACAAGATCAGGACCATCAATATCACTGTCTTCCACCTCTGCATCTCGTCTCACTGGAAGCTCTTCAGGGGCAGTAACAGGCATGGAGCTGTCATTGCCTGTGAGAGTAATGTCTTCTTCTGGATACCTCCTGAAGGACCTGGCTGAGGCTGTTTTACAGTTAACTTTTTCTTATAAGTAGAAGGAGTAGACTCTAAAATAATGATAAAAAGTATAGTAGAGTAAGTACATAAACCAGTCACATAATCTTTATTATCATTATCAAGTATTATGTACCACCCATAATTGTGTGTGCTAGACTTCTCTATTCCTGGCAGTGTGGTGGGTTTGTTTATGCCAGCGTCACCATAAACACATGAGTCATGCATTGCGCTGTGACCTTACCACAGTTATGATGTCACTAGGTGAGAGAAATTTTTCAGCTCTGTTCCACTCTTCGGGGACCACCATCGTATATGCGGTCCACCATTGCCTGAAACATTATTAGATATGCCATATTGTGCTATGTGAGTGTATTTGCCTGTTGTCTCTCTGACTAGAGTGTGTGCTCTTTAGGGAAGGACCTGCTTCTCTCATCTTCATACCCTGTAACAGGGCTGGCACTGTTCCCTCCTGTGTCCCCTGCGCCCTGCCATTTCAGTACAATCCTCTCTTCTACCCGCCTGCCACCAGCTCTGCACCTCTGTGCCTGAGGACTTTCTCAGCTCTCCCTTGTGCAGAACTGACTGGATGTGCTAGAACAATGACTGTAAGAGTGGTGTATAAATACCCCAGATCCCTCCCTCTCTGGGTGGGGTACATTCTGTCCTGGCTTCTAGAGTTCCCAGCAGGATTAAACTGTGGTTGTCCAAGTGATAACTCACTTGATCACTCTTTTTAGCTGTTTTCCCCTCCCTGTCATTTCTCTGATGTTTCCTGGGGTTACCTCTCAAACGACTTCCCCCTGGATTCCTTGTTGAAGGTCAGGGGATCTGGGATACATCTTCACTACATAACAGAGTATTGGCATGCAGGACATGTCCAGCAGATGTTTGTTGGAAAATGGTATGGATACCTCTAGAATAGACAGTTACTTCTAGAACATACATATCTTTTAGATAAGAATATATATATATATATATATATATATATATATATATCTTAAAGCAGATTGCATATTCTTCTCTCCATAGGTCTCATGCCATGTTTTGCTGCCCTTGTGGACTCTGAGCTTGGTGCTACGTGTTGTCTGCCTGCCCCTGACCTGAAGGACATGCCCAGCTCCTTCTCTCATCCTTGCCTCTCTTTTGCATCTTCATAATACACATTCACTTTTTAAAAAAGGAATGGCTTTTTGAAGCTAATGGCCATCTAAATCTTTCTTTTCTATTGTCCAGCACAGTGTGAATAAATAAATATAGGCTATGATTCCACTTTTCAAATATATGACTCCACATTGGTGTTTTAACATTGCCAACTCCATCATTTTACCCCCAACTCCTGGTCAAGGAATTTCCCTCCCTCTAAAATCACAGTCTCTTCTTAGAAAGGAGATATTTTTCTTTAAGAAGGGGTTTCAGGATAAGAGCTAAGCTCATTGTAGAACAGTGGTTTCCAACCCAGGCCAAACGTTAGAAAAATCCTAGGGAATGAGTATGTCAATGCTCAGCCCAGACCAGTTTGACAGCAGTCTCTGAGGATAGGGCTTGGTTTAGGGTTCTGAAAGCATCCCAAGTGATGATGTGGAGCCAAGGCTGATGCCATCCATCTAGAACCCATCCACTTCTTCCTTTGGGCATTCCCTGCTTTAGATCAGTGGGAGATAAACCCTACTCTACTGAGTCGTGTTGGATCCAGAGGCCGGGACCAATGTTGCTGAGATTCAAGGTGAACTGCAGATTCCTAGGATTCTTATCGTCTACATCTGTGTCAACCCAGGCTGTCAGCAGAACTGGGCTGGGTTTTCTAGGGTCCCAGCTCAGCTCCCTCCCACGTGCAGAATGCTCTTCCCTGTGGGGCTGCTGGGCAGAGCTCTGTTCCTCTTGAATCCTCCTGCGTGTGATGAGTGATGTCTATGTGATGAGCTCCTGTCGGACGGAGGCCTTCCCACCCTGAAAGTTTTTGCTGGCAGCTGAGGATGGGGACAGACAGCATCAGTTGACAGCCTGGCCCTCCACCTGGGCCCTTTCCTGCCTTCTCCATTCCTGTTCCCTTGGGGCCACTTGTTCTCCAGTTCTCTTTCTTCTCAGATTTTCCCTCTGGTCCCTGTTCCTCTCCTGCTATTTTCTACTGTCTCGCTCTTTGCTTTTTCTGTTCAGCTGTGCCTTGGAACCAAGCTGTGACCGCCTCCTCTCACAGCTGCCTTTGCTAAGGGTGGGCCCCTTGCCTGGGTGCCAGGATGGAGGGAGGAATGGGTCGGAGAGAGGGGCTTCCAGGAGACAGAGCTCATACCCCTGGGAGCCCCAAGTCTGGATTTCATACCTGCAGCTTTCCCAGTCAAGAGAGCCAGGTGCCTTGCAGGGGAGCTTTTGGGAATGGGAGAATATATAGCATTTGTGTCTGTCTTGGAGCTTGGTGGGTGCTGTCCCTGGGGCATGAGGTGTGTGGGCCTGTGTGGGGCTCTTTCAGGGCTGACCCTCTGCTGTCTCTGCAGGACTGCGATGTGCTGGTCTTAGCTGCTGTTTGAGAGGATGTCTGGGGTGTCCGAGCCCCTGAGCCGAGTAAAGGTGGGCACATTACGCCGGCCTGAAGGCCCCGCAGAGCCCATGGTGGTGGTACCAGTAGATGTGGAAAAGGAAGACGTGCGTATCCTGAAGGTCTGCTTCTATAGCAACAGCTTCAATCCTGGGAAGAACTTCAAACTGGTCAAATGCACTGTCCAGACGGAGATCCGGGTAAGTGTGAAGGCATCTGCTCTGTCCATCTGTCTGTCCCTCTGTCTTCTTCCTGGGCAGCTGAGCAGCTCTCCTGCAGCCTTGCAGCTCTCCCTGGGTGGAACAGGTGAGGTGGCATCAGAGACATGTGCTCAGCCTGCATCACCAGGCCTTCTCTCCAGGTGTGCGCATACTACTTCTCTAGGAGCCTGGGAAACACATGTTGTAGACTTTGCTTGAACCCCAGATCATTTGTTTGGCCTCTGATTCAATTCATTTCAACTTATTAAGTATTTATGATACTTGAAGCTCTGCAAGGGACTTAAAATCTCCTATCCTCAAAGAGTTCACACTCTGATGAAATAGGAATTAGAGATACACAAGTGATTGCATTAAAAATAGAACAAAACTGGTATGACTTGTGTGCTGTGCATGTAGAGGAAGGCGCTGGTGGGGCATTTAGAGGATGATAATGAAGTAGAGGTGCTTTGGGCCAGGTGGAGGGTTAACAAGCCCTACCTGGCAACACATCCTTTTGCTCACTCCTACCCAGAATCACAACATCTGTTTTGCAGGTCCAGGTATCCACCTTCATCAGGGCACCTGGACACCAGTATGCCAGTTCACCTTAACCAAATGTATATGAGATTGTCATCATAAGCAGAGTTCCAACATGCTGAACTAATTTCAGTCACCTACATTTATTGAACAATTGCTATGTGGAGCCTGGGCCAATCCCTCTATACACATTATTCCATTAAATCTTCCCAGCATTCCCGTGAGTAGATACACTGAGGACATACCTTTCCGCTGCCCAGAGCACCCCTTTCTGATGATGGGAGGGAAAGCCAGATTGGTTCTGGGAAGGTTGCTTAGTGGGTAATTTGAACAATGGAAGCAGGAACTTTTGGGAAAGCTAATCAGGTCTGAGGACATGGGATGAGCCAACTCCAGCTCATAGCCAACCCTTCCCATGTCCTGAAAGCCAGTGTCCCTAAACTCCATGAATGTTTCCTTTGGTTAGTGCTGCTGTGCCCTGGCCACATCATCCTGGCTGCCTTCCGTCTGCTATAGCACACGCTGTGCTGCCACATACCAGAGCACAGTGTAATTGATTACGTCACTGTCATAGCCAGTTATCACCATTGATTACGGTTTGATTGGCTCTCTCTGTTTCCTGTAACTGATTCGATTAGGGCCTTGTTTGCTCATCTTATGGTTTCTGATATAGAGGCACAATTGTGTCCTGAGAGTAAGCCCTGGTCATCTTCCTCCAGGAGGATGTTTTCCTATCTCTTTATCCACTTCGTGAGTCTTCCTTTGGGTATATCATTTTTGCAAAGAGCTGATGCCATCCACTGTGAATTTTACTAGTTTAATTTTCAGAAGTTAACCTGATTTCCAAGTTTAGGGAGGAGCACCTCATTGTTATTTTGTGCTGAAAAACAGAGAGCAGCTGGTTAGTTCAGATTAGGACAGGTTCCATGGAGTCAGCAGTGAAAAGGTCCTGAAAAAGAGGTAGGATTTAAAGCAGTGACACTGGGGACAGGAAGAGACTTTCCAAGAGGATAGAACAGCATGTCAAAAGGCAGGGAGGCCTCTGAACAGTAAGTAGTTCAGTTTGACTGGAGTATGGATTATATTTAGAAAAGTATCTAAAGTCAAGATCAAAAAGGAAAGTTGACAGCAGAGAATGAAGGGCCTAGAATATCAGGCAGAGAAATCTGGAAATGGACAGGCATTAGGGAAGAACACATATTTTTAAGCAGGGGCAAGATGTTCCTGGAGTTGTATGATATACCCTGCTGGGTGTTTAACGGATGAAAGTACACAATGGGCCTATGGAGAAGGCAGTGAGACCCAGGCTTAAGAAGAATGGCTTGAGGCATTATCTGGGGTTGGTGGGGAACAGAGGTGGAGAACAGAAGTGACTGACTTCTAGGAATATGTCCAAGCCTTCTGATTTTTCCTGCTTCCAGTGTCTCCTGCAGGCAAAATGTCACCTGCTTATTGCAAACAGCTGAGGCTTTAAAGCCATACCTAGACTTCTAGCCAAGTTCTGCTCCATGCTTACTGGTTGTGTGGCCTGGGACCTAGTGATTAACTGATCTAGGCTTCAGTCTCCTCACCCGGGGATCATGCTGTAAAGACTGGAGATGATGGAGGAGAAGCACAAAGCACATAGCAGTGTCCATAACTGGAGGCTATTGATTGTGTGGGTATTAGGTTATTACCCAGCTGAGGAATCTCCAAAGGCCTCTAATTGCCCAGAGAAGAAAGTGCAAATTGTCTTCCTTTGGTGTCTATCCAGGTATCTGTCTTATGTTCAAATAAAGAAATAATATGATCAAATTTGTGTTTTAAAACAGCAACATGGTGTTCTGCAAGATGTTAAGAAGTGTGCCCTCAGGAAGTGAATGTGTGGTCAAAAAGATTGGGAAATGTTTGGTTAAACAATTCTGAACAGATTCTTTTGCAGTAAGACTTCTCAGAACCTTAAATAGGCTGATATAACTGATAAATCACTAAGAACGGCCACAGAGGTGATATTTTCTTAAATAAACAATTTCTTATTTGCCTAAAAAAAACCCCCTTCTTTTAAACCACTAGATCTCTGGACAATCATTTAGGGAACTTTTCCCCCTAAACTCTGACAGCAGAGAGAAGAGGACTATATTAAAAAAAAAAAAAAAAAGACTGGTGAATGGGAGATGGGTTAGGAGGCTGTGGTCATACTGCAAAAGCAAAATGATGAGGACCTGGACTAAGGGAATGGCATTAGGAATAGAGATAAATCAACATAATTGAGTGTATCTAAGGAGGCAGAGTCAATAGAATTTGATGATTAACTAGATATAGGGAGGGAAAGAAAGGAAGGAGAGAAGGATGACTCAAGTTTTTGCTTGGGCGACTGAATGGGTGTTGGTACCATTCATTGAAATCCAAACAGAGAAAGGGAGGGCGTTCTGAGATTTCAACTTTACATGTGTTGTGTTTAAAGTGTTTATGAAACACCCCCATGAAGGAACGTGGGTCTGGAGCTCAGGAGGGAGAAAGAATCTAGAGACAAATTTGGGTGTCATTATGCAATTGATGTCACGCAAATGGGTAGGATCACCCACAAGGAAGGAGTGTAACAGAAGAAAAACAGATCCAGCACGAGGTCAGGCATTCAAGACCAGCCTGGCCAACATAGTGAAACCCCATCTCTACTAAAAATACAAAAAATTAGCTGGGTGTGGTGGCACGGACCTGGAATCCCAGCTACTCTACTCATGAGGCCGAGGCAAGACAATCACTTGAACCTGGGAGGCGGAGGTTGCAGTGAACCAAGATTGCGCCACTGCACTCCAGCCCAGGCGACAATGTGAGACTCCATCTCAAAAAATAAAGAGATCCAGGTGGGAAACCTGGGAAAATCAACTTCTAAAAGGCTGATAAAGAGCAGCAAATGAAGGAAAAACAAGAATCAGTCAAAGAAGGAGCAAGAGAACCAGGAGGACAGAATCTGAGGAGCCCGAGGCAGAGGGGGCTTTAAGGAAATAGTGACTGGTAGTGTCAGATGCTCAGAAAGGACAGCAGATAAGGTTAGAAATAAGTGCATGGCTTTAGCAGCAGGTGCCAGGAATCATCTTTGTTTGGGCAATTTTAGTGGAGAGATGGAGGCAGAACACATTGTACAATGAATTATAGTGGAGACAGTGAGTATAAGTAACATGTAAGAGAGGTTTTGACCAAGAAGAAAAAGAAAGAAGGGAAGGCTAAAGGAACAGTGTTCACTGCAGAGGGAACAGCATGTGTAAAGGTCCTGAAGTGGGAAGGCACATAGCAGGTTTGAGACTAAGGATTGCTTAAGTTTGGCTATTTAAACCATGTTAACCATTTTGGTTTTTATTCCATCTCTTGTGGGAAGCCACTGATATAATTTATACCTATGGGTGACATGAAATTGTGCTTTTTAAAGACCACTTGGGTTACATAATGGAAAATGCCTTGGAGGAAGGCAGGAATGGATGTGGGGAAATGTTATGTGGCTATTACAGTGAATCAAATGAGAGATGACAATAGCTTAAGTTAAGATTATAGCCATGGAGATAGTGATGGTAATGGTGGTGGTGATGATGATGATGATGGTAACAGTAGTGGTGATGTTAGTGATGATGATGGCAGTAGTGGTGATGGCAGCTAGCACTTTGGAAAGCAATAATATGCACCATCATATTGACTTCTCAAAAGAACCCAGTAAAGAACAAACTATGATTATTTCCACTTCATATATAAGGAAACTAAGCACAGAGGATTTAAGCAAATTGACAGTAAGGGGTGAAGCCTATTTTTAAACCTAAACGATGCACTTCCAAAGCCTGCACTCTTAACCACTGTCATCAATGGAGAGAAGTGATTATAATCCACAGAACTGAGGAGATGAAAGGCTTTTGTGATGACAGGAGATTCACAAATGAGGAAGAGGGAGGTGTGAAGAATGGCAGCCCTGGTCTGGGTGGCCAGGGTCCCGTTCCCTAAGATGAAAAACACTGGAGGAGAAATCCACTGGAGAGTGAGGAGTTCACATGCCCAGTTTTGGCCCTGTGGAGTACAATTGAGACACATTAACATCTTCACATGGAAATGCTAAGTAGATCCTTGGATACGTAATTCTGGAGGAGGGAACCAGGTTGGTCATAGACATTTGAGTGAGGTCAATCCAACCATCTGGTGGTTGAAGCATGGCTGTGAATGAGATCATTCGGGAAAGGGTTCTGAATTACTCCATCGTCCACTCCACAAATGTTTGTTGGATCCTCCCATGTGCCTGGCACTATGCTGGTATGACCTAGGGTATTAGCATATCCCAAAACACATTGCTCTCCCTGCTTTCATAGGGCTTCCTGGCCAAGAGTGAGACTGACATGGACTCACACTAATGAATGAACCTTCTCAATCTGAAGCACATGGTCCTACAGGAAACCATAGGTCTTGTGAGAACAGGTCACCATCATCATCTCCATGGCTACAACCTT